ATTAAATTGGTGGCATTAAAATGTTACTAACAAAACACTCAAGCTACAAACTTGCCATAAACATGCAAACTTTTTGCACTTTAAAAAAATTAGACATTTAGTAGATATTTTTACATGGTATTGCAATGTAAAATTGAAATCATAACATTTTGTTGAAGTTAAACACTAAATTAGCCTTCAGAAATCTGTGTTCCTCTCTCAGAACTATCACAGCATCACAATATCCTTCTCTCAAACAGAACTATGAGTATCAGAATATCCTTCTTACTCTCTACATGATAATTCTTAAAGAAACACAGAATTAATGCTATCAATACAGTTAAACAGTTTAGCTTCAAAAATTATCTCAGTTCTGCTGCCTACATTTAGAAAAAATAAGTTGTACTAAAAAAAGTAATGGTCTCCACTGGATAGCATTTATTTAAAAAAATTAGCAGTTCTTTTTTTTTTCTAGCCAGTCTTATCATAGCACCATTACTTCCATACAAAAACAGCCACTACAATGTTCTTAAAAATCAAAACTGAACTCTAGTTTCCCTGCTAAATGCATTTCCATAAATCTAGTTTGCAGAAAACCAATAGGGTTAAAAAGTTATTTTCAAGTGATATAACAAAATGACCTTCTATTCAGTCCATCAGGAGAAAGCAACAAAATACATCAGAACAACTGTACCATCAAAATCTTCTTTTGGAAGCCTGTAACTGAAAAGAACTCCCAATGTCAAAAAGTCAATTTAAGTAGCTGCCCTCAAAAGCAAGTCACATACTGATTTGCAAATAATGTGACAGAGGTAAAAGCATACAAACATCAGCAGCTTATATATTATGCTATGTCACTAATGATAGAAAAGTGTTTATATAGTATGTAAAAGGCTACAGATGAGATCAGAGTATCTTTACCACAAAATAAGTTTTCCTGAAAACATTACACATTTATACCAAGACGTTTAGTGGAAAACTTGATAATTCACCATTATGAAGCTACTTACCTGAGAGAGAAAAATTCTTTTGATCATCTTGTTCAACAAACCAACAAGAAAGCTCTGACAACCAACCAAAAGATTACTCATCCTGCTATAATTACAATGAATTGAAAAAAGAAAGGCTTGGATAGAGAAAAGGTTTTCCTATATCATAGACAATGCATGAACACACAAAGTTTGTTTACAATATTTAGCCAAGCTTTCCTCATTCCTTACCCAGAAGTGACAGTGTTATTAAATTTAAGACAATCTTACATGGTATTGAACAAATTTTTTTTAATCAATAGGTCCCAACAAGACAAAGTATCATATGCTATTACTGATTTGTACTATTCGTATCAGCAACAGTACACACTGCTGCTGAAATGGAGGTTCTGATACACGCTTACTGCTTATTAGGTTTAGATCTGCTCAAGTATTAACCACTTCACTCCCTCAGTTTCTACTTCCAATACTATCAAAAAGATTCCAAAGGGATTCAAGCCATAGATTATCTTTCAAAAACAGAAATTAGTTGACGCCATAAAGCTAAACCAGTTCAGAATAAAATGTCTTGTTGGCAAATATCAAACTAAACAGGAACACACAGAAAATACCTATATCTGTAGGCCCTGACTTAGGATCCCTTATCTCTACCATATCTCCCTTTACCCTGACAGGATCCATATGGCTCCCTCAAAAGAAAAATCTGTTGATTTATAAAAGGCCAGAACTTGTCAGCTCCTGGATTTACTTTAATTTTTCCAAATTGTCCCTCTTCTACTGATGCACACTTGGGGTTTTTTTGGTGATGATATTCCAGAACAGTATGGTAAAACAAAAATCTGACGATATTTTCTGCGTGTGCTCAATTCTTTAAGGTTTATGGTGGAGCAAGAATCTTCAAAGACACTTTCTGATATTATCTTCTCATATAAGCATCCAAAACAAAGCAGAGAAAACTGTCTTTCACACTGCGTAGTTTCCAACCTCAGTCACAATTTAGATGAGTGGGTACAAAGCACCGTCTTGTATGATTTCATGAGGCAGAGACAGGGAACATTAAAAATTAAGATTAGTGCTCCAATTTGAAACTAATCATATCTTCGCAAAAAACCTGCAATTCAGCCACAATGCAAATTACATGTGGTAATACAAAGGGAAGGAGCTGAACTCCGTGAAAGTATCTTAAAAGGAAAAGCTAAACAAATATGTCCTCTGTAAGAGAAATATACTGATTAGCCTCACTCAAGAACAGTTGGAGAAGACTACACTTCTTGATTAAAAAGACAATGATAGTAAACACTGGTATTCAGTTCAGTTAGTACTGATAGCAGGCTGACTTGCTAAGAGACAGCTGAAGTACTGGATGATTCCCCAGGGCCAAGCAGCTGAAACATAAGATAGCTTTATCAAACAGCAATGGTACCATTCTGGACTCCAGCCTGAAGCCAGTAGATCCAGACTTGCCTTCTGCAGACTGATCACCTCCAAAACTGCATTTGTGGAATTTTCTCTCAGACAGTCCCAAAGTCAGTGATGTGAGTCTATCTCAGTACAGGATTTGAAGGCAATGCAAGTGAACATTCTCCTCTCTCAAAGGCAACGAATACGTTCTATCAGAACACCGCTTGAAACTCAAATACCTACAGACTATTAATGCAATATAAAAATAATACATACCAAAAATAAAACTCCCACAGCCAAATACAGAAGTTGAAAAGACCAACCGAAGCTACTTACACAGAATCCAGAGTAGGAGAAAGAGAATTGTAATACAGATCAAAAGTAGAGGTTTTGTTCCATCTTTACCAAGTGCTTAACAGAAACAGCAGGACAACTACTGTCTTCACTGCCACAAACAGAGCATGCAGCAGGCACAATGTTTGTCCAGCTTACACATATGGTTAGAATTAAAATTCTCCAGCTTTTAGTAGCTGCACAGCAGCATCCCAGGATGAACTAAACATATACTGAAACAGCTAAAGGAAAAGCAGTACCTCCTGAGTTGCCACTCTTGAGGAGCCCCTCATATTTTGAACATGTCAGCATAAGAACTAAACATCTTATCCTTCAAAGACAGGTCATTAGAGGAGAATAAGTGTGTTAAATCTTCTGGGTGCTTGAGTTATTTGACGACTATGAGGAAAAAAAGACAAAGAATAATGTTCCCACACTATTTAGTTCTCTCTCTCACCCCATAAGCTGCTGAAAATCCTTTGGGAGAAATACTAGACTTTCTTTCAAAAGTCTACCACGAAGTCAAAAGATATGGGACAACATTACTTTTAAGCAAACACAATTTTTTTTAGATCTGGATTTCTAATTTTGTTGTTTGAAAGTATTCTTACAAAGTTAAATGTGCTCAAATTTAAGATATTATTTCTAAATTCTACAAACTCTTCAACAAGTCATTTGGTTTTCATTACTGGTGAGTGTCTGTTTTATACAGCTATACATAGTAGCTGTATGTAGCCATTTTAAAGAACAAAAATTCAGAGAGTGACTCTGCCATAAAATTATGGAGGTTTGTTTTGGGTTTCTTTTTTTTTTTTGCTACATACAACAGCAAACACAAAATTTGTATATATATATATGTAACTTTCTATACCACTCTATTACTCCTTGCCCTTCTTCCTCCTTCCCCATTTTTTCCTGGGTGAAGTGGGGAAAGCAAAAGCAAGAGGGAGGAAAACACAGCTCTTACCTTTAGGCAAGGAATCAACAGCAGGTAAAGGTTAAAGACAGATCTATACTTGTATCTCTGACTCCCAAAAGATCAGTGCCTGAGGTTTTACCTAATTTTTTTTTATTACAATAATGCACTATGCAAGTCTCCAAACACAGCTATTAGGCTCACCACCTGTAGTAGTTCTTCTGGAAACGCTACTCTTACAGATGGCAGTAAAACTGAATTTCAGTTTAAGAAAGAAAACCCTCTTGCTAAAACTGTTACTGTCATCTTACAGCCAAAATTGTATTACAGAACTAAGAAAGTGTTGAAAAAAGGTGCTGGTTTACTTTATGCTAAACCATATCAAACTGCAGACACCCATCAAAAGATGGTCCTGCTCACGTTTCAGCTCCAGTCAGTCAGTCCTACACTCTCATTTGCTTCAAATATAGCAATATTGCTATATATATGCAACTTCAGAGCAAGCAAGATCTACACACAAACCAAAAACTGGTGCGCACCATCTTTAAAAACAACAACAACAAAAAAACAAAAAACAAAACCCAAAAAACTCAACCACACATCACTCCAAAACCTCAAAACAACTCCCCAGTCCCAAATGTAGTCTTCTGTTGGACCAGCAAGATCATCCTACTCGCCTCATGGTCACACCGTAAATAGGCTGAAAGCAGCAAGAGAGGGGACAAACACACAACCAGGGAGCCAGGGAGAAAGGAGAGAGATGAAAACCATACTGTGAAATTTCACCCTAGTGCAAACACATATATGTTAATATTTGACCTTAAACTGGAAACCTGCAAGTTAAACAAATTGCTTAACGTTTTTTCATATAGAATTACACAGTACTTAGAAAAGAAATGTTTCCATCTCTGTAACAAGTTAAAATGCAAAACTAGGTTTACCAGCAAAATAAAGCAAGCAAGCTGACTAATTAAGCCATACCAAGTACCTGGTTTTTTGCAATTGGAAGAAGTGGATTTCAGAGTTTTTTAATATGTGAAGTAAAATACAGTGGCAAGTGAGACATGTAAGACTGGAATGCCATTGCATTAAAAGTCATTTGGCATTAGAAAGCAGTATCAGTTTTTTAAATTACAGGAAACAAATGTTAAAACTTCAAATGTTTGTCAAAAAGAAATTAAATATTTGTGTAAATAAAGACAAAAGACCATCACACATTATGCATACAATTTAGAGAACATATTCTACTTTTAAAATGTGCCTTTCCCATAATTATTTATTTCTAGGATAAAATGCTAAAAGTACTTTAAAACAGAAAATGAGAAGCTTTACTCATTATGCAAAGTGGGAAAGTCTTTCCTCCAGTAATTTTCCTATCTTACCTGTATCTTCAATGAATTGCACACATTTTTCAACAAACAGAGGTATCGGTTTCTCAGGTGTAACCAGATCCTGTAGGGGCATCCCAAAGTAATTACTTTCCCAGTTTCTACGGATTGGAGGATTGAATGTCTTAGTTTTCTTTTTCGGCTACAACAAAACAGAGTTATTTAAGTAATATTCAAGTAATATTTTAACTAACTCATTGCAACCATCCAGTAAAAACAAACAGATCATGTATCTATCAGACATTAAAATTCCTCTATAGCAAACTGAATAAAAGTAAGTGTACTTTTAAAATAGCATATGTTAGATAAAAAGCACTTAAATAACTTCTAATAGATTTGGTCATTTTTGTATCACATTAGGAACAGGATGACCCAATGCACCAGTAACTGAAATGCTATAGGAACAAAAATAAACATACTACTTTTTTAGAGTGCTATGACAAGTCTTTACATACTAACTTTCAGCACCACTCACAAAAGAATCTACATGAATCACATTTGAACCACACCTCTGTAGGAATTTTTTGAATAAGATTGTGAAGTGTCATATCCCCCCCAAAATTGAGTGCCTTCTGTATGTGTCTCATTAAAGATACTAAATAGTCTTTATATTGCAACTATGCTAGAAACATGATGATGCAGAATGTACACCAACCAATCTCAGAGTTAGAGTTGTAGGCACTCCTATTAAGCATGATTGCTTTGTTACAGGCACAGGATTTTAGCCAAAAGGAGGTTCGCACCCAATCAAATCTAATAAAATGATGAGTTTCTTTTGGAATTTTCTTGCATGTTTTGATTTTTTTTTTTCCCTGATAGGGACTTTTATCAGGTCAACTGATAAATCACCTTTGGATGATTACAAGAATTATATTGTATCAGATACCATGTTTCATCTCTGAATGTTGATGAAAATATTCAGAGATGGACATATGAAGTGGTCAATCAATTGGCTGTACAACGGCAACTGAATGCGGAAACTGAATGAACACCATTAAAATCTAGAATTTTAAGTTTATACACAGTAAGAAGTTAGTTAAAAGCAGTCACATTTTCATATAAAAGCTCTTCAGTCAACATCTAATAGGATAAAATAAAAGAAAAACAAAAAGTACAACAACCAGATATAAATTTGATAACAAGGTTTCTAGAATTTTATAACAACAGTACACTTCAATTAACTATTAAGACAAAACATGTCTCATTTCTATTTTTTACATCTAGAAAAGTCTTGAATTGCAATCTCTATGTTAAAAAAAAAACAAAACCCAACAACAACAACAAAACCAAAACACAGGTTAACTTCTAGACTTTTGTACCATCAAATTTACTTAATTGGTCCTTACAGACCACCTAGAACTTCAAGTCAGCAAGGTACATACTCATGATTGACTCGCCCACTGAGAATCAATGAGCTCAAGTTGAACACTATGAGGGAAAGTGGAAAATACAGCCTAAAGAACATTTCTCCAGCCATCACTCTACAGCACCTGTGGAACTTCTCCAACACTTGATAAAAAAATCTGTTAATCAAAGCCTCTCAATAACCTAATTAAACAAGTAAGGCTTTTTATGTGGAATGTCTCTTTGTAAGACAGCTTGTGCTTCTTGAAATCAGAAGCAGAGTAGCCATGATTGACTATGGTAAGAGAAGGCTAACAAAAAATTAGGCTTATCTTTCAAATTTGAGATTTCTAGAAAAGGTTTGGCACTTATGATTCAGAAGGAAGGAAGATTTATTGGAGAGTTCTTCAAAACATTAGAAAGAAATTGCTCTCCAGCAATTCATTTCTCCCCAAGTTTTATATTAATTGAAAATTTAATAAAAAGTTTAGGAAAAAAAAGATTAGGATAAAACTTTCAGAAAAACTTTCATGACTAAAGCAGACAATATCTGAGAGCGTTCTTTTCAACTGTCAACTCTTTGCATAACTTTTATTCATCTTGGATAAGGCATCAATGGTTCAACCAACATGTGACTTCAGATTAGAAACAGCTTTTTCTTCCTTCCTTCCCACTGTGACAGTCCCCTGCTTTCAAGTCCCCAGTACTCAGCCTAGTTCATTGGCCATTTTCTCTTTAGTGGCAAAATTGTATTTATTTAGGCAACAAATGTATCCAGTTCTAATGAGTAGCAGCTGAAAGGGCCAAGCTGAAGCTAAAGAACACATAGAACTCAGTGAAAACGTTTTTGTCAAATATTGAATGAAAGATCATTTTAAGAGATACATACATTAACGCAATGAAAAAAGCAAAAACAAATTGAATTTTTTTTCCAAGCTGTTCAGCGCACATCCCATCTTAGAATAAATGGAACAACACTCAGACTGTGTATTTCAGACCCAGCAGATAGAAAAAGACTGCGTGTATCTCTCTGATTAAGACATAATATTAGCATAACATAATTAAATATAAACAAATTTTGTTGATGTGACTGGAAAGCAGTCTGGTTAATGGAATAATAAACTAGGATTTTACAGATTTTTTATGACAATTATAATAGTAATTAATATTATCTATGTAGAATACCTGGAAATAGCATGAAATATCAAATATGTCTGCAAAGATGGAATGAAGAATGTTTTTCTCTAATAATCGTCTTGAGTTTATTAGAATAATTGTAAGGGACTGAGATATCAAGTATGACATTGTACACTCAAAAAAGCAGAAATGTTTCTTAGATTAAATGTCTACCTGAAACAATCAGTTTAATCTCCAAATTTGAAAGTGAGAATTTGTGTAAAGAATTTAAAGAATAAAAAAGAATAAAAGAATAAAGGAAAAAAACCCTGAAGTCCTTTTCAAACTTATCTAGGAGTAGGAGAAAAGATAATCGTTGCAGGGCTATTCCATAAACATGAAATTAGGATTTCACAAGGCAAAGTTACAATAATAATTTTATCAGCTATTTCCCATTATATATTATTATATATTTTTGTCTCTCTCTTGTCCAATATTTATTAAAATATCTCTTATGATTTCCCTTTCTTTTGGGGCATGTGAATGGGTAAACTCTCCAATGACAGCTAAGATCAAATCTTCCTGGAAATAACACTATCTGCATGATCTTCACAAAAAAAATACTTCTGCAAATTAACAACAACATTTTAAGGTATTAAAAAACCACCGTGTCATTTCCTGATTTGAGACTTCCATACTTTAAGTTGCATGTCTAGACTTCTTAAATGGAGAACTTGTTCTGAATGAAAAGGCATGTTACTGTGCAAAAGATCTGATCTTTGTCAAAAGATCAACTGACTTCAGGAAAAAAACCACAGGTCTTATTTCTTACAAAAATAAGCTTTAGTGAAAGCTTTTTTTTAATCCCACTCTGAGAAAACAGTAGCTTTTCCAATCCATCAGTCATAGCCTGGAACTTTTAAATCTGCTAGTCAAGATAATGAATATAATAAATTTTTCTGTGTAAAATTAACTTTTAAAAGTTCTCTAATGAAACAATATTTAAACAAAGACACTGTTAAACATTAAATTATTAATTTAGTTAAACAGTACCTGAAAAAGGTGAATCATTTCTAAATTCCTAGATTTTGGCAGAGAGATTATGATTTTGCCACAGTTATTTTTAGTTCAGTAGTTCTGCCCAATACATCTACTCCCCACGATACAGCAGTCACCTAATACTGCATACAGTGAGCACTAATCTAAGCACAAAGACCATTTTCTACGCTTCTTCTACATCATAATAAAAAAGGACTAATAGGCACCAAGTTAGAGAAGACAAGAACCAGCACAAAAGTTTTGTTAGTTAAATTCTAGCAAAAAGCTCATTGTTTCACATACCACTGTTTCATGTTAGTAATTAAAACACAAGCCCAACACCATAAAGCTGAAATCCTTAGTTTTCATATAAATCTGGTTTTTTCTATAATTGGCTGCTGTACTAATGTTGAGCTTCCTAGCATGGGTTTCACCACTTGCTTCTTGCCAAAGACAACTTCTCTTCATACCCTAACAGAGGTTAATGCCAAACCTCCAGCTGATGCTTAGATATTTTGGCAGGAAAGCATTTTGATTCTGAGAATCCCAAACTTGCCTTGCGTTGCCGATACCAAAAGGATTTACCTGCAATATTGCTTTAATTACAGTAGTTTAATCACTGAAATGTGTGTTGCACAAGATTATCTGAAGTCCTCTTAATAAAAGACAACGTAAACATGAAAACATGTATTCTACCACAGCACAGCACCCAATTCTTGATTTCAAAACTAGAAATATTATTATAAAAAGCATAAAACCATGAAAATGTAGATTTAAAGTATACTCAAGATTAACCCTCTTGACTGTAGGTACCAGGGAACCAGCTAAGCAGCACTCACCTTCTAGAGAAAAACTAGGCTGAGACTCAAGAATACAATGCACCTAAATACACCCTTTTAAAATTAACTTAGAAAACTAAAAAACTGCCCAAGCCTATCTATCAAACCCCTTTATGGATGGGCTGCTTAGTCGAGCAAGTCCTCTCTCTTCAAGAGGGGCTCCCCTTCTTTTCTGCCCTCTCACTTCCATCAAAGGGGAAATGCAGCCACTTCCCCACCCCCTACACACTTCACTACTACTTTTAATACAAAGGAAATTTTCTGCCTGCTTCATTTGCAATCAGCCCTAGGGTCACGGAGGGCGAAGTCACTATTTTCAGGACTATTAAAATACTTTATAAAACCACATACCATGAACAGCATTCATTTTATCAGCTTAATAAAGTATTTGTAACCTCTAATTCATGGCTGGCTCGTCAGAAACTATACAACACATAAATAATGCAGATGATGGTCCCCAACAGGCTCTCTCTTTCTTCCCCTCATGCCTTCTGCCATTTTTAGAGTTCCAGCTTTTTACAGTAAGTTTTAAACTACAGAGGCTCAAGAAGGCATATGGCTCCAAATGTATATTTTAAGAGTGCTAAACTTGAACAGATGAAAACTGAAAGTACAGATTTTGATATTTCCTATACTCCTCAGGAGAAAAGGAAAAAAAAATCACTGCACATTCCACTCTAAAGTAGACAGTACTTTGCTAAGTCAACCACTGAATTTACACAAGAACAGCTGAACAAAAATGTAAGCTGATCTCCCACTTGTCACATGTTTACCATAGTCTTATTAAAACTGAGATCAACACACA